TAATCTGAAATAGTAACCCTGACGTTAATATTATTGATACTAGGCTACTAAGACTCGCATCACGCTATATTACAAAACGATTGGAAAGTCTCAATGACTACCCAATGAAAAGGCAACGGTAACAAACCAAGTCCTAATCATAACCAATCTCATTGGTATATGCCACATTTAAAATTGTTTAAAAGCAAGTCCAAGATCAAATTATTACAAATCTCAATGAAAATGACTGTATAAATGTTGACTACACCTTCACCGTGTAATAAATGATTGGCTACTAGAATCCATTAATGACTGCGAAATGATAGCCACATGCTTTAACGATATTGCACATTGTTTTGACACAATGAATCATACATTACTACTATGAAAATTTAAAACTATGGATGTAAATCAAACAAGTTTTTTTGGTTCCAAAATTATTTGGCTGGAAGGAAGCAAATCTGTCTCTTATACACATCTAGATGTGTATAAGAGACAGGTATATACTTAATGTCTCTCTGATTAGACATTTTTAGAAAAGCACTGAAAACGCATTTATTCATCCTAAATTATAATCAATAACTTGTTACTGCTGCACATTTTTTAAATTTTGTAATAAAAAAAAATAAAACTGGTAATTTAATTGAAGCTTGATGGTTTTAATTATAGCTCAATTTTTAATAAAATATTTTAATCAATAATAATGATATAGTTTTAAATTGTTTTATTTCAATTTTTAATGTATCAATATATTGCTTCCGAAATATTAAATGTATGCCTCAATTTGAGATATTGTGCAAATTTTAGATTTTTATAACTGCTTTATACAATATTGTCGGTTAATTAATACTGGATCCTTTTTTCTGTATCATTTTATAAATATTATTGTAATTAATGTATAAATTTTGATATTCTCAATTGTTTATATTTTGACTATTAATTTATTGTATTCTTAATGTTAAGCGCTTTTGAACATGATCATTCATGAAAAGGGCGCTATAGAAAGTCCTCGTTGAAAATCCTTGCATGCACAGTAGATAAATGGATTGTTGGCAAGATTTAAATCTAGCAGCAACACTCCCAACTCTATAAATATGTAACACAATGGCATATGAAATACATTAACACACTAACAGAGTTTGGCCAGCTCTAACAATATAAACAAATACAATTAAGATGAGAGTACAGTAGTCAACAGATCTGATTTGACCCTTATACCCCTTTCAAACAGAGCTGCAATACCGCAATATTGCGGTACATGCCGGCATGGGTTTCTGTCTGAAAGGGTCGATACGCCAATATGCCAGCTTACTTTAGGTCACTTCGCATCCTAGTAATATTGTCACAATACTGTGGTAATGGTTACTCTTGCTCTCTCAGAAAGGGTTTATTCAATGTTGTGGCAATCAAGCCAGCATGTGCATTTATGCATAAGCAAACAAGGTTAAAGTTAAAACAATTGAGCGTGGTGGTATCTCACTTCCTTTCGCTTTCCTTTCCATTTTTCGTCGCCATTGTTTAGCTGCTCAAAATTTCAATCCCCTTTCCTCTTGAACGGTTTCGAAATGATCTTTAAAATTGCTCTAGCCAAAATAAGAACATTCTGTTTGTGTAATGTACTGTACGTACAGCGCATACATAAACAGAACCAAGTAACATTTACATAACAACAGCTGTAAAGTTTGATTGGGTGCCATATTGACAAGAAAGTAAAGAAAAAGTCAACCGTCAATATTATGCCATTCTTTTGGACCCTTTCAGACAGAAAATCGTTAGATTGCGATAACAAAGGCGCTGAGTGAAAGATTATAGACCGGCTGTGGCGTAACTAGGTTGTGAGAAGCCCTGGTTCAAGAGTACAGTCGGGGCTCTTGACGCATTCAAATTAACTGACCATGTCAACTAAGATAGAAGTGTACCACTCACTGATGTGGTTAAGAGCAGGGACCCTTCTGATATTTTATACTATTTTGACAATTAATCTTTCAATTTTTTAATTTTTAATTTTTAGATGTTCTCAGACGGCATCTTTGAAGAGCCAGATATTGGCTGGACTAACCATAATCAGGGCGGATCCAGAGATTCCCAAAAGCGGGGACCGAAAGTGACCGATCGAGACAACACTTCCCTAGCGGGTCCGGGGGCATACCACCGTGAATCTTTTGTTTTCTAGGTGCCCGAAGATAACCTCTGAGGCATTTTTGGGTGATCGATTATTTTCAATCAATTTATATTCTTATTTTTTCTTACTTTGCAAAGTGGGGGGGGGGGACACCACGCCCCCCCCCCCAAATCAACCCCTGATAATAATACGGATTTTTACTTCTTATGACAAAAAAAAGAACATTTGATATTTACTGAATTGGTTTATTTTATTTATCCGATTAACCACTGAACAATGTTAACAGTTATCTTGTATATTAGTTTTATATACAGTACTTAAGCTAAATAAAATTAAATGGATCACACCTGACATCATTAGACTTATGTATGGCTGTGATGATGTAAAACACTTATTCGATAAACATAGCAGGCCAACATCATTTAATAAATATCGTTTACTTAGAAACAAATGCACGAGTAAAATTTAAAAATCCAAATCAGATTACATTTTATCTGTTAAAAACCAATATAAACACAATCCCAAACATTGGGGAATGAAATACTTATCGAAATCTTGATTGTGAGCATTTTAGTGATTATTTTAGTAATATAGAAAGAGAAAACTCAATCAAAGAAGACAAAACAGAATGAAAAAACCCAAATAGTTGGAAAGTATAATACATATGAAATGCACGCCATCATCTCAGGACTCAATATTTTGACATATGATTGTAGTCACATAATAAATTTTACAGGACTTGTATCTAGCATTATTGAAAAGAACCTGACATGTTTATCTGAAATAGTAACCTTGACATTAATATTATTGATACAGGCTACTAAGACTCGCATCACGCTATATCACAAAACGATTGGAAAGTCTCAATGACTACCCAATGAAAAGGCAACGGTAACAAACCAAGTCCTAATCATAACAGACCAATCTCATTGGTATATGCCACATTTAAAGTTGTTTAAAAGCAAGTCCAACATCAAATTATTACAAATCTCAATGAAAATGACTGTATAAATGTTGACTACACCTTCACCGTGTAATAAATGATTGGCTACTAGAATCCATTAATGACTGTGAAATCATAGCCACATGCTTTAACGATATTGCACATTGTTTTGACACAATGAATCGTACATTACTACTATGAAAATTTAAAACTATGGATGTATAGCAAACAAGTTTTTTTGGTTCCAAAATTATTTGGCTGGAAGGAAGCAAATAGTCAAATGTCACAATAAAACAAAGCTTTATTAGATTTTTTATACAGGAGCTGGGCCCTTATAAATCGGGGGTCCCTGGAGCACGGGCCCAGGTTCAACGAACCTGCTGAATCTGCGGTTGTTACGCCACAGTAGACCAGCAATTATGCCCACTTGCTTAACGCAATATTGCGGCAATGTCTATCTGAAAGGGGTTTTACAGTGTGTTCTTCTACACGGCCATGATATTAATAAAATACTAAAAAGATTAACACCATGTAATACCAAACAATTTTTATAAAAAATCCACACTTACATTCAGTAGAAAGTACATTACTATTACTAATATTAGAATACAATTCCAATATTTATATTTTCACGTTTACTTAATCACCTCCGACAGTATATACATAGTGTCTCTCTTAACATATTCAAGTTTGTATTTCTAACCATGGAATATGTCATCTCTGATCTTCCGAAGTCCTTGTTGAAAATCCTTGCATGCCATACAGTAGATAAATGGATTGATGGTAAGATTTAAATCCATCAGCAACAAACCCGCCCCAATAAATAAATAACTAACCCAATGGCATATGAAATATGAATTTAATATATCAACATACCAACAGAGTTTGGAGTCATTGTAACAATATAAACAAAAGCAATTCAGTTAAAGTGTACTCAACAGATCTGACTCAACTCTTTGAGTTCTTCCACCATTACTAGGTTGAATACAATAATGGACGGAAGCAATATATCGTTCAAATGTAAGCATGATAATTATATGTCGATGTTGCCGACGCTTACAAGAAAAGAAATCGTATTTTACAGAGAATGGTTTCAACAGCGCCATCAGGAACATTAATGTTTTGTATATCAGAAACCCAATCAAACCATTCACAGTCTGATGGAGAAGTAATTTCGGCGACATAGACTTCTTGTAGGTGTTGTTGTTGACGAACACATATATGACAATGGAGTTTGAAATGATACCAATACCAGCAAACACAGAACAACTTATGACCAGCAACAAGGGATCTTGCGATTGTATGCGAGCTGTGATATTTCTAGATACAGTACATCGATAGTTTCCTTAAGCTATCTAGTATTTGTGAAATGTTTGGCATCTGTGGTATTAAAAAATGGGTAGAAAAAGCAATGGTAGCAATTTCTCTTGCGCAGTTCCCTTTCAACTCCCCTTGTGTCTCTTGATATGACAGAAGAACGTATCATCGTTCCATTTTATCAAAGTTTGGAATTTCTATATTCATTGATTTGATATATTTTTTGTAGGTGTGAATTTTATAAATCATTGTCTAATGAGGGACAATACGTAATTATACTGTAACTTAGAATCCATGTCTTTGTTAACATTGTACAGTTATCAGTAAAGCACCGCTTTAATCAGAGTATAAACTCTAGTAATCATCGACAAAATAATAATCAGAATATATTAGTGGGAACTATTCGTGCACATGAAGTCTTTATGGGGGGACATTGTTCTCAATTTAATAACTTTCCGAGAGCTGAGTTGGTGTCCAAGATGAACTTTTTTTTTGAATAAATTTTTTTATCAGAACTTCAAAACTAGTTTATGCTAAGCAATTATAATTCTAATTTAATTGTTCGTATCTCGAATTTTACCCTTGTAAATTGAACATTTTAACTAGTTTTTGGCTGCAATTCTTGTATTGTTTTTGCTCTCCGAGTGTTGTTTTTTGCTCTCTGTCAATATTAAATAATGCTCTTTTGAACGAAATAAATGAAATGAAATTCAAATGGTTATGTTTTAAGAAATCTGTTGACTTCATCTTATCTTGAATTCTGAGAGTATATATTTAATGTCTCTCTTAACATACTGTACTCAATTTTGTGATTCTAACCCTGGAATATCTGTGCTCTGATTTTTTGAAGTCCTCGTTGAAAATCCTTGCATGCCATACAGTAGATAAATGGAGTGATAGCAAGATTTGAAACCAGCACCAACACACTCACATCAATAGCTATAGGACTGACACTATGGCCTATGAGATACAGGAAGAAGGTAACATAGTGTGGAGTTTCTGTAACAATGTAAACAAATATAATTAAGATGAGTGTAGTCAACATATCTGATTTTATACTTTGAGAGCTTCCACCATTATTTGGTTGAATGTCAGCTGAAAGGTCATTACTAACTATTCTTGTTTTGTGTAACTTTACCAGTATTTTCACATAACAGTAGAGCATAATGCTGAGGGGTACCAGGAACTGAAAATTGTTTATTAACATACCAGCAACAGCATTAATTTCTAATGGACATGCTTTCACATATCGATGTATGTCTGCATATATAGGAAAAGATATCGTTATGAGTACAGCACATACATGGGGGCCCAGGAGTGACAGGTATGTAATTTTCTCACTCAAGGACTTCTGGAGATAAAATAAGGGATGGACGACAGCAATATAGCGTTCCACTGTAAGCATAACAAAATTGTATGATGATGATGTTGCCGGTGCATAAATGAAGAACAAACGCATTTTACAGAATATGGTTCCACCATTGCCATCAGGAATATCGATGGTGTAGAAGATCAAAAACATAAGAGAGCCAAACAAATCAATCACAGTTTGATGGAGAAATAATTTGAGCGACTGAGACTTTTTGTAAGTCTTGTTGTAGACGAACACAAATATGACAAATGAGTTGGCAATTACACCGATACTACCAACTACCCAACGAGCTATGACCAGCAGAATGGGTTCTTGCAGTTCTATGCGAGGTGTGTCATGTGAAGATACATTCATCATGGTTTCCTTTTTTTATCTTCGGCAAAACAGCAGATAATACAAAGTGTTTATCAGAAAGCAAAACTTGTAATTTCAGTGGTAATATTCCATTAAATGTTTCTTCAGCGCTATTCTCTTCAACTTTTTGGCAGTAGAACTTAGCTTGGTACAGTACGTTCTATTGAAATTTGGACAGTTAGAAATTTCCTATAATAATGGTAATGTCATTTACATGCCTTACTTCTTATACTCATCAACTTGATATTAATTTTTAATTTATTGATTATTCATTGAATGTGCAACAGAACATATTTGGTAACAAAGAACCCTTTCTTTGTTAACATGCATTACAATATGCATTTAGTTTTTAATTGGTTTATATACTATGAAGCAGTCGATAATGGACGTTTCCGCTAAGCCCCGCCCCTTGGATATTGTTTTTGGTCCCACAAGAAGGCAGTGTTAAAACATACGCGAACACGTGCGTTTGTGGGACAACACGTGTGTTTGTAAGACGCGCGCGCATTCCTAGCGCTGTTCTGATTAGTCAGTTGTTAAGTTTGATTGACACTCCGGAAAGGTCATTAATTGAAACTGGAAATTATATAAATTGTTCTGGAAGGTTCTGAATATTTACAAGTTTATTGAATGAGCATGTGGCTGCATTTTAATCAGTCTAAAATAATCAATATTCAAAAAAGTGGAACAAGTTTTTTTTTTCTCAGAATGGCAGATTATAGCATACTGTATTATCATACCATTGGATAAATTATATGATTGTTGTTTTTCTTACTTCTGCCGTTTCCATGACACTGGTCCCACTTGTGACAACATCCTCCAATCAAGCATTTATCTCCTCCTTCAAAAATTCCTTTAATCATCTTTTTAGTTCCATAGTCTTTAGCTTCTTTTCTGCAAATCAACATTGGTTTGTTGTAATTCACAGCCATGCACTAGAAGAAAAAAACCCAGTGATACATTGAATTAGATACCAAATTTGTTTTTTATATTTCATTTTACATACGTTTTTTTTCATTACCTCTGCCAAACTAAACAACCTTAATAGATCTTAGTAGTTTGTTTTTTTTTTTGTCTTTTAAGGTTTTTTAGAATTGCCTTATTGCATATTGATAGCAGACAATAGATAGTCAGTAACTTCCTATCTATTAATCGGTGACAAGTACAGTATAGATAGTTTTCGCCGCACGATGTTAACATTAACTGTAACGTTAGTACACAACATGCAACGTGATAGCCCTGTCCATTTTGTAAACAAATCATATTACGCATGCACAAACCCGTAACTAACGTACGTCGAGCACGTAAAATCCTGAAATTAACATACTTCGCAACATCCGTTAGCATTAAAGCCCCATTCCCGGCAAAATTTCAATTTTTAAGAAAAATCTAATTTTTGTATAATGTTATAAAGATTTATAAATATAATACGTAATTGCAAGTTTAACTGAATTTAGACATTCCTAAGAATGAAAAAAATGTAAAATAAGACTGAAATTTGATTTTTTGTGTTCCACACAAAAAATAAATGCGGATGAATTTTTCATGTTGATTTTGCGATAGGTCGTGAGAAGAAATATCGTAGGCGCCGAAAACATTAGCCTATCCAACGCTGCTGGCTAGGTCTAGCCTTTACCTCGATTTTAGGTTTTGTTATCACACATAAAAACGGCCGACATGATATTTTCCGTTGCTAGTATTGACGCTTGTGAAATATAATATTTCATAGGAATTATTTCAAATTTGTTATGCCAATATTTTTCCATGATTTATAATAACTGGAGTAATGCAAATGCATATTTTCTAAAAAAAGTCATTTTTAGTGGAATTTTGCCGGGAATGCAGCGAAAACTACCCATTAACAGATTTGTATTCAGCTATTTGTTTTAGATGCTTAATCAATCGATAGGTAAAGAGTAGACATCTATTTCAAAGTAGAAATAGATGAGCCGTTCTACTAGTCTGATATAATACTATATATTAAATAAAACACTGGCTATGCAGTACTGTACTTTTAAGACTTGTCAACGAAAATAGTACTTCATGTCCTGTACTTATTTTTCCATAACCTGATCGCTTTAGCTGAGTTGCGCATGCTCAATTGTTGCATTACAGTTCTATTTTCCCATTTCTATTTCATACCCTCTTAGCAGACGCTATTTGGTTCCTGAGATGCTTTTTGGTAACTGATACCCACTTCGCAGGCGCCATTTGATTCCTGAGACGTCTTTTTGGTAACTGCGCATGCTCGACATGGCTCAACGTCACTTACTCAATGCACATGCTCACTGGCTGTTTAGCATTTCCAAGCGCTTGCTCACTGTATTTTATAGATAATTTGCGGACGTTCTTTGGTAACTGCCACATGCACATTGCTTAGTTCGGAATTCCCATTTCTTCGTAGAAAATGCTACCGCTACATAATGCTTCTTAATGACTGTTGTCATCTTGATCGTAGCAGCCTAAAGGTGCGGCGCAAAAATATACTTATTATTAATTACATTAATAAAATAATTAAAATTCGAAAATTCAGTCAAAAATAAATATTATTAATTACCTAACAAACTATAATATACAATAATTCCAAATTATTACAATAAAAGACATATCAATTAAAGATTTAAATTCAATATCTACTATATTCAATCAATAATTCAATATCTACAATATTCAATCAACAATCACTTATATCTTTATACTCTTTGCTTCTTTATTAAGATGTTTTTTTTGCAGCTTTTGTGGGCTGAAAGTGCAGGGCGATGCTGATAGTATATACGGTAATTATAATTACACTTAATAATAATGATAACAATATAAAAATAAATAAAAATAAACACTGAGGCACAATTTGAACTCACAACCTTCGGTGCCATACAACACAGCGTTAACCGGCCGCGCCATTTATGCAACTTGTTAGTGGTAGTAATTAATGTTAATTATGAACCCATGCTGTTTTCTGAGGCAAATTTATACGCACGAATCACCAATTTTTTTCTTCTTATAAGCATGCGCAGTAAGGAAGTTCGTAGTTAAAAATTAAACCGTGCATGTATATAAGCAGAAATTTGCAATTTGCGCGAATAAATATTGGAAGACCGCTTTTACACCAAAATATAAAAATGAATCGAGGTAAAGCTTGGTTCAACACCCAGACCAGTGATCAGTCACTCTTATACATGCTTTTTGTCTTAAGAAAAATCAGTTGTACAACATATCAAAAAAATATTTTTTTTATCTGGAGCCTGACTTTAAAGACAGGCACTCACAGCGTTGTACGATCGTCGCACGACGAATCCACCTCTGCTTCCGGCGAGCATTAGATGACGCGACGTCATCTGCTGATTGTCAGTGGCAGTCTCAACGGATTCTCACTTAAAAAGTGATCCGTTGTGTCCGCGTCGTCGAATGAGTTCGTCGTCGCGTTGCCATCGCACGCAATGAGTACCCGGTTTAAACACAAAGCTAACCCTCTGAGAGGATACTGAACCCCGAGGCAAAATTTTCAAATCATAATAAAGGGTGATCTCAAATACAGTAAAGAGGATACACTATTTCTTTTACAACTTACGGTAGCTAGAGGCAATGCAGTGTATGGCACGCCACATAAATGCCTGAATTCTATATCAGCGCCAACTGAATCCCACAGGAGATCTGAAACTTTTTTCTTAAAGTAACAAAAAGATAATCAGAGTAAACATTTATTACAAGAAGTACATGAATGCTGGCTGTATTGAATGCAGTGGCAGTACTAGAGTGGGGGGAGGGGGAAGGCTGAAAAAAAATTTCAGATGCCTTGAAGATCAATACCACCATGGGAATATGGTCCCAGACTGTAAAGTATTTTAATTGCGTGGATGATACCTCAAAAAGTAGCTCAAATTTGTATGAAAAATCGCTAGGAAAATGTGCACAGAATCGTAACTACCGGTACTGCATAAAACATTGGTATAAATTAAGATTAGGTCAAAGCCTAATTTTCTGAAAAATCTGCCTGGAAAACAGCCCTTATTATCCGAAAAAGACCGTGGGCCGAGGTCACAAATTTGCTTTATAAATGAATACCCCATTCAGACTAGCATCACATTGCGATCGGTTGTAGCAACTGCGACACCCAATCGCAAAGTAAAATCATGTGTGAAAGCTCACCAATAGCAGTCGATATGTAATCGATATCGCAATTGTTACCCGTTGCGATTGGGTGCTACAATTTTATTACTCCCGATTACCAGGGAATCTGATGGCAACGAATCACAATGAATTCCACAGGCACTGTTTGGCTGAGGTCAGGCAACATAGGCCTAGACAACGGAGGCCTAGGCCCTAGAATATAAAGTTTGTTTGTGTTGGTCTGAATGCGTTCGTTGATTGCGATAGGGAGTAATCAGTTTTGGATTACCACCGATTACATCACAACCGATCGCAAGAGAGTGTAGTCTGAATAGGGTATAAGTTGCATTGACCACCCTCCTAGATGACGCATTTTAAATGGAATACAAATTATTATGTTATTTTAATAAAATCCAAGCAAATTTGTTTGGAGACTTTTTTTTTTACAGTGGCACACATCACCATTGATGGTGCATCCAAAAACATAATCAAAATAATCAAAAGAAACATGAAAAAGTAACTTACACTATAACAAGTCAAATAAAGCAACTGTTTACATGAAACGAAACTCCTTAACTACAATAAATTAAACTACTATAAGAAAAACAAAAAACAAAAACACAGAAAAAAAAAAAAAAACTAATTCAAATTAATAATGTAAAGGTAGTAATTAAGCACTTATCTTAAAAATATCTGATACAGTATTCCAGGCAAGCTTAATGTATTTTTCGCAATAATTGTCAAAAATGGTTGAAAGTTGTCTATTTATATAAGAAGGGTCGTCTAGAAATAAATGATGTTTGTATTCAATAGTCATGGATAAAATCATCCCAGAATGTATTTAAATTATTGTTGCGCAATTCTCTTTCTAATTCATAAAAGGTCATATCTCTGATAGCTTTTAGTTTTGGCATTCAAATAGAAAATTATCTAGTTTCTTTTGAGTTGTTTCACAAAGGCAACATATGCCTGTATTATTTACCTGCCATGATTTTTTTCATCATCCTAAATCCAAGCAATTTGATTTAGCCTTGAATTTGCTTCAAAATTAGACTTGCTTCAAAACAATATTTAAACTTTGGGCCCAAAAATGAAATTGTTCTGATCTCCATAGCATCAGAATTACTTTGCAATACATTAATCATTATATTTAATTTGTAAAACTAAAAGAAGCTATTTTTTTTTTGTTATTCCTTCTAGCAATTAAAAAATAAAACAAATACAAGGACGAAGAAAGAGGGAGGCCCAGAAGGGGCAAAATTTGTACAAAAACTTCTATCACACAGGAAAGGATGTGTCCCTTCAACTCCCTAACATTAATAATAATAATAGCTATAAAAATATAAAAGTTAATTATTTTAAGCATTCAAATAATCAATGAGATGATGAAAAAATTGACAATATGTAAGATTAAAAAAATTAACTAACAAAAAAGTATAAAAATCTCAATTAACAATTGCACTTCATGAATTTAATGAATAAACAACTGTAATAAATAAACAATTTATTTGCACTATAAATACTTTTTAATATTAAACCTTTGTTTGGATACACAATTTATTACTTCACACAACAAATAAACTACCGTATTAAGTATGTATATACTCGTGTATAAGGCAGCCCACGTATAAGACGACCTCCGAGTTTAAGAAGATTTTGGACGACTTTTGTATGTAGGGAGTATAAGACGAACACTCCCTAAAATTTGTATGTCGCGCGTATAAGATGACCCCCCTCCCCCATTTTTCAATCGTAATTTGCTATTTTAAGCCTTGTCTTATACGCGAATATACGATACTGTATTTGGATTAATGTACACTATAGTGTCATGGTATGAAACAAACTCAAAACAAACCATGCAAACCATAGTGATTCCATATTTCATGCTGTATTTGTTGATCTTTCCATGTTTTATAATTAGGCCTATACATTATATATATATAGCTGGCGAGGAAGTGTATATAATGTTCATGAGAGACCCTTTAAAACAATCTTCCTATGGGGATCTCTTCGGTCTGCTACGAACATACTGTAACAAAAGCACTCCAAAGTTTTTAGCCCTATAGTTATACGGGCACTATTCTCGCATATAATAATCCTAAATTCAGGCCACGGAAATTTTTGTAAAAGTATGATATATACAGTATATATTTTACTGAATGTGTGTATATTGCAAAATGATAACTTGTTCAAAATTCTTTCTAGATGAATTGAGTGGTTCATTCCTCCATTAATAAATAATGTGCAAGTAATAATACAAAATGATACAATGAATATCAGTGGCTATATTTATACATCCTGCAGGGTATTGTGAAATAAAAACAATGGATTTAAATAAAACATGTCTTATGAATACAGAGGATGCAATATGCTATGCATTACTGTATATTTGGAAATAAGTCTACAAATTAATTAATACGTAGAATTTCGAGCAGCTTGAAGCAATTAACAAATAATTCATCAAGCTCTAGACGAAAAGTTTTATCACTAGATGAATTGAGTTGTTTATTTCTCCATTAATATAATGTGCAAATAAAGACGAATATAAAATGATACAATGAATATCAGTGGCTATATTTACACAACCTGTAGAGTATTGTGAAATAAAAACAATGGAATTAAATAAAACATGTCTTATGAATACAGAGGATGCAATATGCTATGCATTACTGTATATTTGGAAATAAGTCTACAAATTAATGAATACGTAGAATTTCGAGCAGCTTGAAGCATTAACAAATAATTCATCAAGCTCTGGACGAAAAGTTTTATCACTAGATGAATTGAGTTGTTCATTTCTCAATTAATATATGTGCAAATAAACACCAATATAAAATGATACAATGAATATCAGTGGCTATATTTATACAACCTGCAGGGTATTGTGAAATAAAAACAATGGAATTAAATAAAACATGTCTTATGAATACAGAGGATGCAATATGCTATGCATTACTGTATATTTGGAAATAAGTCTACAAATTAATTAATACGTAGAATTTCGAGCAGCTTGAAGCATTAACAAATAATTCATCAAGCTCTGACGAAAAGTATTATCACTAGATGAATTGAGTTGTTCATTTCTCAATTAATATTGTGTGCAAATAAACACGAATATAAAATGATACAATGAATATCAGTCGCTATATTTACACAACCTGTAGGGTATTGTGAAATAAAAACAATGGAATTAAATAAAACATGTCTTATGAATACACAGAATGCAATATTCTATGCTGGTAGATCAATTTTTTAGTAGACATACAAGTTTTTTATGGAATTACATTTATTATGTGTAATTAACTTACACTTATTTCTCAGAATTGGATCTATCAATAATAAATTTTGCAGTTACATATTTACTTGAAACAGCCAATATGATATTGAAATTTTAAAGTTTAAAAAAAATGTTATTTACTAAAAATAATCAAATTTATGCCTGATTTTAAATTTTCCCAAAATACCCCAAACCATATTAATAAAAAAGGCATTCCAAAAACATAATCCGAATGTATTATTTGGTTTGAACACAACAACAAAATAAAAAACTTCTAAAAACCGGACGATCAGTTACATAAACATCGTAACAAGAAATAACAAAATAAAAGCGTACCAGATGCTGTGAAAAAGAGATGCTTCTAGTCCAGTGGCATTGCCATGGAGCGTATTATATTGATTAAAATAACATGCCTGTAAACGTTATTGTTAGATAAAGTAAAAGTTACGCCTTCCATTGTTTCGAAAGTGCATTTTCGTTTTAATGCTTAAAAATCATTGGAATCAACCAGAAATAAAGACGGAACTCAAAGCAAGTTTCTGCAAGTGACTTTCCAGCAGATTACTCGGATTCGGACACCATTAGATTCATCACTAAAAATTACCTCACTCCTCCTTTTCACTTTTAATACACTTTCAAAACATGCTAATTTAATTTCAGAGGAAGTTTTTAGAGAATGAAATATAAATTGGTTAGACTTATTTAGATTTGACTCCAAATAAAACCATGAGGGTTATTTGCTTTAATACACTTTAAATCTGTTTAACACTTTATTGGTTACACACAAGCTTGTTCCTGTCACGCACTATGAAACTTTGGCTGATCTGACGTCATCACAACCGAAGCACATGTTTGCACACTACCACATGAATAAAACTAACCAATTGGCGGGCAGAGTTTAGGAGGCGTGTCCTATTGTTTACAACCACAAGCGTCATTTTGTGATGACAAAGAATGTATTGTTGTGTTTAAAAAAACTGTATCAGAGACTGAATGTGCATGTGATTTTCATTGGTATTTAAATTTGGCTACAGTATTTAAGCATTTACAGTTTGGCTAAACAAATTAAGAACCTGTAGCCATTTTGGCTAAAGGAAATTTAACCCTAACATGAGCATACTGTGTATTGTAATTATGTATGACTAATTACTACCGTAATACTATAGGAAGTCAAGAAAATAATTAAAAGAGAACTAGCAAAATGATTTTGTGTTCTAGAGAGGATTTTTGATATGCCATTAATAATAGAATCAACCTTAAAATCGTTTTTTGGCTTTTTTTTATGAAGTTATAGGCGATTATATACGATTTTACCATTACGCTACTGGCAGAAAAAGTAACAAAAGATCGTGTAAATAGTTCCGTGTAGGGTATCCGCCGCGTACGATCTTTGCATTTATGCTGTAACCATGGTTGTAAACTGTGATTGTTACAGCATGCAAGCAAAGATCGTACGCGGCGGATACCCTACGCGGTGGATACCTTACGCGGCACTATTTACACGATCTTTTGTTACTTTTTCGCCAGTGACGTCATGGTAAAATCGTATATAATCACCTATAACTTTATAAAAAATAGCCAAAGAACGATTTGTAAGGTTGATTCTATTATTAATGGCATATCAAAAATCCACTCTAGGACAAAAAATCATTTTGCTAGTTCTCTTTTAAGGAATGTATCCCCTACTACAGCATATGCACTGCAGTACTGACGATAATGCGGCTGTTTTACTGATAAGTCAGACTTTGAAGATTCAGTTTTACAATTAAAGGTACTGTATGTGTAATTTTAATCTTATTTAATGTAAATGTAAATAATGTAACTGTAGTATAAGTTTACTCTATTTGTAACAGAGTATTTAATTAGATTGTATTCACTATTATGGAAATAAATCGGTTTTACTACTAAATTACTGTGTATGTTTCGTTTCTTTACAACTGTCATTAATGCAAGAAGAAATATTAATTATACAATAGTGACAATTCAATCAAATAGATAAAATATAAAATAGTAAGATCTTATTAACATGAATATTTTATTAATATACATTCATTATTGGATATGACTGTTTACATTCACATTATTATTATTATTATGATTATTATTATCATTATTATTATAATAATATTATTATTATTAAATCATATTTAAAGGAAGTAGGGACAAGTCCTTGTGAATACTATAATATTAGACAAATACCATACCAAGAGAGAAAAAAAATGTTATTAAATTAATCATATTAAAACTTTACTACAAAATACGACTTTTTAGATTCAAACTATTAATATTATTAAATGTATTTGAATTTCCATTAAACTTTGAAGTTAATTGTTGTGTTAAAATCATTAAAAAAATACAACTTGTTGTGTTAAAATCATTAGGAAAATACAAAATTTAAGCCCAGTGATTACTGAAATCAGGAAAAAATCTACAATGATTATTAAAATACATGCATGTTGTCAAAAGAGTTGAATGAATTAAAGGCGTATAATAGGTCACAGTCACAGTGTAGTCTATCCTATTGTGAAGCTGATAAAAACAGGCCCACCCAACATTGTCCACCCCACTGCACACCCTAATTTCACAATGGTATATTCCAGTTTGGGTGGTTTACGTCTGGGTGGTTTATGTCCTGGGTGGTTTATGTCCTACATTCAATATAAACAAAGATTCAAGGTTCAAAAATATATTTATTTATAATACATTTTTATTTATAACACATCCTTCATCAAATATCTACTCACTTCGGGACCTCTCATTTTATTATCATTGTATGTAGGTAAATTTGTCGACTGCTTCCTGAACCACTGTAGGGCTAATGGTACATTACCGTATTTAAAGTTTATATTTTTATTTGTCATATACATCAACCCTATACTACATAAACCATTATTGTTATTTTACCAAGATACGCCCTTTGTGTTTATGCTAATTAATATTTCAAACTATGCAAGGTATCACAATAAAGAAGGTGGCAGGGAGGATTAAAATTTTCGAGAAGAAATAAATGTATTTTTCATTTCCTGAAAGAAGTCCTCTTGTTTTCTGTCACTTGTGAGTCTCAATCAAAATATGCCTAAAAATCAGCAAAAAAATGCCTAAAAAAATAGCGCTCTGATGATCTGAGCATTATTAATCTGTTTTTAAACGATTTCAGGGAGTGTTTGTTGAAAATCCGGGTACGGTACTTTAAAACAAAAACAGTTAATAAAGCCACATAGAATTTGAGTTTCAATGTACATTATGTTTAATTTGAGCACCCGACATACTGTATGTACACAAATTTACTTATTTATTTAAACAAACACAAAATGAATAGGCATAGGCCTACTGATCAATTTTTAGTAACGCGTCAATGAATTAAACATTCACATAAATAGGCCTACTGTCTATGACTCAATACTGCATGACCGTTTTTATATTTTTAATAAAACCAATGTTTTCTAATGCACCACGCAATTAAAGAACAATAACTTTTTCCAACGGTCTGATAACTTTTTCCAATTCCCTCAAAGAGCACATGTAAACCTGGACGACAACGACTGAGGGTAAAACGTGCCAAGACAGTAACAGCATAGACCAATATGTTAAAACACGTACAGTATTTTGTAATGCAATATTCATCAATCTTAGTTCAATAAAGCATATACACTGCAGAGTTCGTAAGTCAACCTATTCTCATTATGTATCATGTCCATTTTCTACTTTGTCTAATTATATGGCCAACACTCTGAAGAACAGAACAGTTTTCCGGATTCATTTCATCCACAGCACAGCAGTTACAATTGAAAATGGATGGATACCATAAATGGTCGTAAATGAAGAACACACAGTATATTAGAAAAATAACAAAGGTTAAAATTAGTGATAAAAATACATTTATTTCTACACAATTATCTCAGCCGTCCCTGGAATTAACCTTGTATAAACTGATCTCTTGCATACTTGACACATTAATTAGCATAAGGGCGTCTTTTTTATGAAATAATAAATGGTTTACATAGCTGTACATAGCTGACGCATGCTAATAGCAGCGGTTACTTATAAAATATACTGTACATGACGAAATTCTTCCCCTTAGAAGAAACGGTCACTGGTGGGTTGGATGATTGATGGCTAATTGCGTACGATTTTTCACCGTACGCCCCTGAAACTACGATTTAAATACTCATTTTGTTTAAATTTAGAATAAGTTCATATATCATGCACCGTTCATGTATGATGTGGTAGTACATAATATCTTGAGGTAAGGTCATGGTTGAATGCATTTCTGGTGATACGTCAATGCGTTATAGATCCAAAATGTCAATGCATTACTTACCGAGACACGATGGGCAAAACCAAACATAAACAACATACACTGATTTTTAACAGAATTTGCCTTTGGACAAACCACGTTCTAAATAAAGTTGGTTTCTATTGATTATAGCTGTTTTCTTCTCTCGTGTGGTAATATTTTTATCATTTTTGCATCCTGTGGTTCCGCGTGGTGGGAATTAGTATTTAGTAGGACCTTTAGCGAGTAAGATAACACCGCTGTACCTAAATCCAAAACAAGCCAAAACAGCCAAGCAAGCAAGTTGGGCCAGCAACTACTCGGGTGGTCACCACTCGGGTTAGGCCTAGGCCTAGCTAGGCCTACGGTTCTTACCATTATTTCAGGATAAGACACAATTACTCTGAGATCAAAGTAAACTGGAGATTCTATTCCACTCTTCAAAGTGAACTTGCCAAATTTTAGGGCATTTATTTCGAAAAGATGATGTGTATAAGAGACAGAGGTAATGTAAAGTAAATACATCAAAGACAATGAAGCTTTATTTTCAATGGTAGGGTCTACAATTCAGATTATTAGATCTCTATGAAAGCCGAAAATCGTTGATAAAAGATCACATGGTGATGATATTTGAATGATAGTGCCATTTCCGGCCAGCTTGAGGTACTATTTCTCAAATTTTCGCATCTCAGCCTCAACCATGGTGGGGCTGGGTTAGGTGTGGACTCGACACTGAAGTAGGTAAAGTAATAAAGCAAATACATCAAAGACAATGTTTTTAAGTTTTACTTCCTGGTACATCACACATATTTTCACCCCTTCAGCCAGTCCCATTATGCTGGGGTTGAGATCTCAGATAGGTGACCAGTGGCGTAACGATGGGGCCGGGGGCCCTATGTATTTCTGAAACGGGGCCCTATTTAAGTCCCGGTCACCAATTCCATCGTGGGATTTTAGTTGTGCATTGTTATTCTAAATTTTTTTAACGACGAATAAATGATATAATATGCAGAAAATTGAGGCCGGGAGGGACTTTCACAGTTGGAGAGTCCATACCACCTCAGACCCAACATGGTTTGGGCTGAGTGAGGTAAGAAAATTTATGAATATGGCACATTTAGATGGCCGGAAATGGCACGTCACAGACAAAATTATGAATTTTCTTTTTATCTCCAGTTAAAAAATATTTTGAAAAATTTAGTGGGGGCCCTCCCCCACACTCTTTATTCCGCCACTGTGATATGTGATATGTCCTACAGTCGATTTCAGACACACATTATGCCGTTGCCCTTGTGGGGCTGAAGAAAATTTATTACTATGTATAAATGGCCGGAGATGGCACTCACAAACATAAAAATTGTGAATATAATTTTCTTTTTAATTTCCATTTTCTTTTTATTTCCCCCGAGAGGGGGGCCACGTCGGGCCGGCGAGACCCCTTTCTTTTCAATCATTATAATATGTTATATATGCCCTACAGTCGATTTTAGAGACACATTATGGTTTTATTTATCAACAAAGTCCTTTTTGGTCAGGGATGCTAGATGTACAGTAGGAACCAATGAGTAGGTCCCCTTCGGAGCCCCTAGAATTCGGGTGTCCTGCGGACCGCTGCATGAGAACGCAGGCGTTACGTCACTTGGTGTGACTCAGGTCTTTCAAGTAGATACTAAAGTAAATACATCAAAGATAATGTTTTTAACTTATATTTTCTATGCTTGGGCGGATTCAGGGGCGCATACGGTGCGATAGCACCCCCTAAATTGTATTGAGAAAAATAATTGTTGTATTGTATTCTTGATAAGGCCTATATTATTTTTATAATTACGAACATAGTACCGGTAGGACTTTTCTGAGTAGTGCAATTTCCGGGAAACTTGAGGTCCATATTCTCAAAATTTTCCCATCTCAGCCCCAACCACAGTGGGGCTGAGGTGATTGTGGATTCTCACATACCCCACTACCGCCAAATCCCGCCCGCCCCAAGTACATCACACAGGTTATTAGATCACTGATTGCCGAAACTCGCTGATAAAAGATCTTGAGAAATTTGTTGGTGCTTCATTTTGACTACAAGGGTGATGTGATGATGACGAATATAAGAGTGTCATTTCCGGCTATCTAGGTACCTATTTCCTTAACTTTTTGCACCTCAGCCCCAACCATGGTGGTCTGAGCTCACGGCTTTGAAGTAGGTAAAGTATTTACACCAAAGACAATGTGTTTACAGGCCCGTAGCCAGGTCATTTCAAGGGGGGGGGGGTTCTCTTGGCGTGGGGTCCAGAGGATTGCCTAAGGACCCCGGTGGGGTCGGGGGCGGAGC